GGCAACTTGGATCACAGCAGCCCCCACAGTAGATTTGCCCACTCCAAATTGATTCCCGACTGACCGGTAGCTGTCTGGCGTTGCAAGCTTCCACAGGGCTATCGCCACTCGCTTCTCAACTGTGAGGGCTGCTCTCATCCTGGTATTCTGGCGCTTCAGGGCAGGGGAAAGCAAGTCACAAAGTTCCATGAAAGTGCCCTTACGCATGCGAAAGTTTCGCAGCCACTGGGAATCATCCCACACCTGCAGCACGATGCGGTCCCACCAGGCTGTGCTTGTTTCCCGGGCCCAGAATCGGCGTTCCACGGCATGAACCTGCCCCATTAACACCATGATTTCCACATTGCTGGGGCCTGTGCCTTGTGAGAGGTTTATGTCCATGTCAATTTCCTCATCACTCTCGTTGCCGCGCTGCAATCGTCTCCTCCTCGCCTGGTCCTGGTTTTGCTTGGGCATGTCCTGGCTCTGCATATACTCCAGGACAATGCGCGCGATGTTCATAGTGCTCATAATTGCCGCGGTGATCTGAGCGGGCTCCATGATCCCAGTGCTAGCTATGGCGTCCGGTCTGAAAAAAGGCGCGAAACTAGTATCTGACGGACCAGGGGAAGAAGGGAGGGAGGGGCGAGTGACGACATGGCGTACAGGTACAGGGAATTAAAATCAAGAAATGTGGCTTTGCATCAGGGAGAAACACAAACAACTGTCACACAGAATGGCCCCCCCAAAAGCCATTGAACTCAAAAGCCTGGGTTTAGCAGGCCGTTGATTTGACGGAGGGAGGAGGGAAACAATGAATACAGAATAAATCTATTTTTTACATCTTAAGACGACGGTGCAGCATGACTGATAGCCCTCGGCATTTTCTGGGTGCTTGGCAGCAAATACTGGGTGCTTGGCAGTTAGCCTTCAGGCCTATTGCACGATCTGATACCCACTGCAGTATGACAACGATGGATACCAGTCGTAATATACTATCTACTGCCAAAAGGCAAGAGGTTGCTGCTGTGTAGCAATCTAGCCCCACGTCTGCCAGCCCCATGTCTGCCAGCACCCAGATCGCCCTTGGCCTCTTCTGGGTGCTTAGCAGAAAACTGGGTGCTTGGCAGAAAATAGCATACTACGACTCTGCTAACGTGCGATGAGCCAACAGGGCGCGTGGCAGAAAATAGCATACTACGACTGATAACCATCATTGTCTGCCCAGGTGCCCATGATCGACAGCCACTGCTGTCTGACGAGGACGGTTACCAATCGTAATAAACCATCTACTGTCAAAAGGCAAGGGGGCTGGTGCAATGCAGCCCCACAGCTGCCGGCACCCAGATCGCCAATGAAGGCTACCAGTCATGCTGCACCGTCTACCGCCAAAAGGCAGTTAGCTGCTGCTGCTGTGTAGCAATGCAGTCCCACGTCTGCCGGCACCCAGATGACATATGGTGACGGTGAGCTGAGCTGAGCGGGCTCCATGCTTGCCGTGGTATGTTGTCTGCACAGGTAACCCAGGTAAAAAGGCGCGAATCTATTGTCTGCCGTTGCTGTGACGGAGGGGGAGGTGCCTGACGACATGTACCCAGTACCCCCCGCGGCACTGTTTTGCATCATCCGGGCATTGGGATCTCAACCCAGAATTCCAATGGGCGGCGGAGACTGCGGGAACTGTGGGATAGCTACCCATAGTGCAACGCTACGGAAGTCGACGCTAGCCTCGGTACTGTGGACGCGGTCCGCCGAACTAATGCACTTAGAGCATTTTATGTGGGGACACACACAATCGGCTGTATACAACCGATTTCTATAAAACCGGCTTCTATAAATTTGACCTAGTTTCGTAGTGTAGACATAGCCGGAGTCATCTCTTGGTGGGTGCTGGGAGGAGGGGGGGAACTGCCATAACATGTGTGCCTCCTCCCCTCCTCCCTCTGCAGACGCAGTAGCTGCCTCAGCCTGCTGCCGGCGCTGGTCCCTTTCTTGTGAGGAAGCGCAGCACGGAGCAGCAGGGCAGCCACCCGCTGCACAGGGCGCAGGCAGGGATGCTCCAGGGGAGGTGCGCGGGCGTGGCTGGTGGGGCTGTGGGAGAGACTCGGCCTCAAACATTGGTGGAATTGTGCCCCCAGGCCCTGAGTATTGCTGGAGCTCAGGCACCATGGGCCTCTATCACTCGTGGCCCCTGCACAGTGTATTTATGCACGTTTTCCGTTGCAGAAGTTTGGCCTGTATTTATTTACTTCTGGAAAACACCAAAAGTTAGATTCTGACTGTTTGGAGACAGCAACTATTATAGAAACCACATTATAACATTTACTTTGCTGACTATATAGGGGATTATAACAAAAATGTCACAGGAAAGATCCAAATGAGAACTCTAGCCTGTGTTCTTGCACATAGGTTGCTAAACCCTGGGAATTCCTGGGAGCAGATTGAATCGGGCTCTATCCAGTACCACAGAAGCGATACCAGTATGTACTGACAGTGACAGATGGTTTTTCAAAAGAGGGAGAAGAATTTCCACTTAGAACTGTGACAGCACATGAGGTGGAGAAGAAGACGTAAAATTATATATCAACATGGCTGTCCAGAGCAGATACTGGCAGATCTAGGTTCTGAATTGAATAATGAGGTCACAGTTTACATTGGGTGTTATTTTCACTATAGGGTCAATTACACAATCATGGCCGTGTGACGGGGGCTGTTAGCAGCTTCAAACTGAGCCCTTTGGAAGCCAGCACCCTGGTCACTGAGAGCACCCAGGGCACCAGGTACAGTTAGAGGAGAAGGGACTGAGTAGTTTGGGTTTGGAAGGGCAGAGGGGATCACTTGCACCTGTGGGGAGCCCTGAGGAGGTCACTAGCTCAGCGCTGAGAAGAAAGCAGCCGTATAAAAGTCTGAACCAGGGAGCAGGAAGGGGGCTCCTTGTAACTGCTGCTATGTTGTGATGCACCATAAAAAGTAATAAAGACACTTGGTGGAGGTTCCCTGGCAGACTGCATCCTGCTTAATTCACAGAGGTCTGCCAGCCAGGGGTTGCAGGAACTGATGGGGGAACCCATTCATAGTTAGAAATTTAAAAATGAATATTTCTTGCGATCTCTTCAGGACACTTCATGCTGTAAATTGTGAGTGACAACACGTTTTTATGTCTTGTCAGATAGTAAAAACCATGCTGTATATTAACCTATTTGCCAACATATTTCCTCATGTAATAATACAATAAGATTGGATAAGAAACCACAGTAATTACACATAATTCAGTGAGAAATAGGGAAAGGAACATATATTTCTGAAGGAAATTGTAGGGAAAAATTATCTATTTTTAGATCAAAATTTCCCTGAGTTAAAAACTAGGAAGAACACACAGCTTCAGCAGCCCATGCCACCTAGACACCAGCAGACTGGATTAAAAAGCACAAAAGAGAATTTTAGGGTATTTATTTTCAAATAATCAAGGTAAGTTTAGGGCACATTGCCATGAATGGCATATGGTGAATAAATCTTCAAAACTGAATTATGACATTGAAAATGTTCCTAATGCATCGGGTTTAAAACAAAAAGTAGTCCTAGCAGTGCCATGTGATGTGCCTCCCCTCAGACTCTGCTCAGCTAGCTCTTCAAGAAATTAGGTTCAATCGTTAATTTAAAGAAATTAGACTAATCGGTCACTATTTTTACAGAGCATTGCAGAAGGTGGTGGACAGAACCCAGAGGAATTGTGATGAATTTCCAGGAGCAACTTCATTTTCTTTGTACTCTAAACCTCACATGACAACAAAAATATCACCCTTTCTACTGATTTATGGCCAAGAAGAAAGGTTTCCCAAGAAAGCTTCACCAAATTTCATGTTATGTGTCATTAAGGGCCAGCATCTTTAATATAATTACGTTAATTTGTGATGATTCAGTAAAGGAATACAGCTCCTTCTCTATTTCTTTACCAAACTACATTTGTTGTGTCCTTATAACCAAGAACATGAAGAGCCCGGCAGTACTTTGAAATCAACAGTGCACAGTAACAGTACATTGCCTGCAAATAATATTTCTAAAGAAAAATAAACCAAAAAATGGAGATTGTAGAAGAGATTTCTATCTATAGGAAGAGAGCATTTGAGGTCGAGGCCGGTGTTTTTTTAATTGATGTGAGAAAAAGAAAGGAAGGGTCATATCTTGATTACCGATTATATGTAGTTAGGAAGTTAAAAATCCCATGAATAAATGCTGACAGAAGTTCAAAGATTTTTATATAATCTTGTGCGAGTTAACTTATATTGCTTAATTAATTCTATCATTTTTAACCTATTAATTGTCAAAGATGTAGTGCAGGAGGTGGGTGTATGTGCCCTGCCTGCCAGACAGAACCAGTCAAGACAATAAAGAGAGGGGGAGAGAGAGAGAGAGCAGCTGCACATGTGTGTAGTTGTGATGTTTATGACATATGTACATTGTAACTGAACAACCCAGTCTGACAATTTAATACTTTATTGTGTTAAGATAAATATTTTGGATTTCTTGAAATTCCACAGTTGAAATACAAATGACGTTATTTATAGAAGTTAAACTTCAATATAGACTTGCGGGAAGAATGAAAAAATAAATGTAAATAATTCCATTTCTAAAAATATGTTTAGATGCTTGTTTTTGAAATACTGTTGAAATGTAAATTAAAACATTCTTGTATTTACACCTTGTTACAATAATATTTTCTAAATTAGAATAATCTTTTTTCTTTCATATTTTACGTTGAGCTTTCACAGGGGTAGAAAATTCTGACAGGGGTAAATGACCCCATCCACCCCCATCTGCTACCCCTGGGGCCGGGGATGGGGAAAGGTGAGGGCTGGGGGTTCCCAGGTGTCTGTTTTCGACTGGAACCTCCAGTTGAAAAGGGAAACAGGCAGCGTATGGTCAGCACAGAAAGTCCAGTTGCTGCAGTGACTGGCCCCCACCACTGGGGGCGGGAAGATCAGCAGCGCTGGGAAGGGCCAGTCTGTGCCGCGGGGTCACTGTCAGGGACAGAGATTCCCTCCAGCCTGAGCTGGGACCGGGCAGATTATCAGGGGAGCCGCGTTTGTACCCCCAGCGATCAGACCAGGACAGAAGAAAGTGCGGAGCTTCCCAGAGAAGGTGCCAGTGAAAGTGAAGAGATGGGACCTGTCAGTCACATTGTAAAACGAGACCTCACCCGCCTCATAGTCCAGGAAAATCCCCACCCGGCTGGGCCTGACGCTCACGAGGAGGGGGGTCGAGGGGGAGGTGAAGGCCTTGTATCCCCCATCCCTCAGCCACACGGCCCAGTATCCATTCTCAGGTGAGAGTGTGACCTTCCCCTTCCTGCTCACAGATTCCCTACAAACCCCCAGAGCCCACTCAGTCTTGTCTCCCACCTCCACCTCCCAGTAACGCCTCCCACCCGTGAACCCCTCAGTGCCCAGGACACAGGGACAAGGATCAAATCTCTCCGGGTTGTTGGGCAGATCCTGGCATGTGTCTCCGAGATTCACACGTTTCCGATCCTCAGACAGGACGAGTCTGGGATGAGCCGTGTCCGGATCCAGAGTCACGTCCACTGGGGAGAGAGTCACAGAGTCAGGGCCAGGGGCTGGTCACTGGGATCAAAGGGAAATTAACCTGTGTCCCCGTTAATCGCTGGGGGGGGGGGGGTGTTGCCTGAGGGGAGTCAGGGCCCGTCTGCCTGTGAGGGGAAAGGGCAGGAGGAGCAGGGGAGGGGTGGGAAGGTGTCAGTGGGGGCGGGGGAGGGGAGGGGACAGGCTCATGCTGGGAGAGGAAAGGGGAGGGACAGGTGACAGGAGTAGAGGCGTTGGAGGGGAAGAGGGGAGGGGCAGGGACAAGGGCAATGGGGGGAAGAGGAGCAGGCACCAGGAGGGCAGAGGGGGGTGAAGGGAGGAGCAGGTTTCAGGGGGCACAGGAAAGCAAGGGAAGGGGCGGGCACCAGGGGGCAGAGGGATGTGAGGGAATGGTGGAGGCTCCAATGGGGCAGAGGGAATCAAGGGGAGGGACTGGTGCCAGGATGTGGGAGGGATGAGGAGTGGGGCAGGTGACAGGACCATGGGGGGGAGGGAATTGGCAGGCACCAGGGGGACAGAGTGACGCAGGAGTCTGGGGGCAGAGGGGCTGACTAGGGCAGGGGCAGTCACCAGTGGGTGGAGGAAGGCAACAGGAGGGACAAGTGCCAGGGGACTGCGGGGGGGGGGTGATCAGAGGAGCATATGCCAGGGGGCAGAATGGGGTGATGGGAGGGGCAGGCACTGGGGGGCTAAGGGGGAAGGGGAGGCGCATGCATCTGGGCCATAGAGTGTGAGTGAGGGGCAGGACTGGTGCCAAGGGAAAGAGAGAGGGGAGGGGTGGGCACCAGGGGTCCAAAGGGTGGGCTAGAGAAGGGGTGGGCGGCACTGGGGGATGGGGGAAGGGAAGAGGCTTCCACCAGAGGACACAAGGGGTGAACAGAGGGGCAGGCGCTAGGGAGGCAGAGGGGGAGTAGAAGGAGGGGTTGGCACCAGGGGAAAAAGGAGGGGGTGGGAGAAGGTGCAGGTGACAAGGGGACAAAGAGGGGTGAGGGGTAGGGCAGGTGCTAGAGGGACATGGGGGGACAAGGGGTGGGGCAGACCCCAGGGGGCAAGAGTGGAGTGAGGGAAAGGGCAGTCATAAAGGGGGAGAGGGGCATGAGGGGTGGGTGCCAGGAAGACAGAGGTGGGGCGAGGGAAGATGTAATCACCAGGAGGGATGGTTGGGAGGAGCAGAGGGGTAGATGCAAGGAGGGGAGAGAGGAGAAGGGCGGGCCCTAGGGGCAGAGAGGTGTGGAGATGTGGGCACCAGGGGGGAAGAGAGAGGGTGAGGGGAGGGGTGGCACCCAGAGGTTAGGAGAGGTTGAAGGGAGGGGCAGACACCAGGGGGCCCAAAGGGGGACAAGGGAAGGGGTTTGCACCAGGCAGGCAAAGGGGGCAAAGAAAGGGGCTGGCACCATGGAGGCAGATGGGGGCAATGGTAGAGATGGGCCACAAGGGAGCAGAGGAGGAGTGAATAGAGGGGCTGGCACCAGGGGACTAAGGGGGGTGAGAGGCACAGGTTTCAGGGACACAGAGGGTGAGGAGATGGGAGGAGGAAGAACTAAGGGGAAGGTGGCATGGGGGAGGGGGTGCAAGGGAAGGGGCAGGCACCAGGAGGTGGGGGCAAGGGAAGGGGCTTGGTCTGAGGGGAGAGCTGGGGGCCAGGGGTTGGAGAAGGAAGGAGCAGGAACCAGGGCAGAGTGGGGGGGGGGGGAAGAGAGAAATGCCGGAGGGACAGTGGTGGGTCGTGGGATGGGGAAGGCACGAGGGGCAAATGAGCTTGGGGGTTTATTGAAGGGGTGGTCATCAGTGGGTGGGAGGATAAGGGAAGGGGTGGGTGCCAGAGGGGTATGAGGAAGGGGTGAAAGCCAGGAGGCACAGGAGGGAGAGCACATGGGCAGGCAGTAATGTGCCCGGGGAAGGGCAGGTGCCAGCGTGACTCTGGTGTGGCATATAATGGGGCAGGCACCAAGGACAAAGAGGGGCAAGAGGAGGTATTGGGGACAGAAGGGGGCAAGGGAAGAGGTGGACACCAGAGGGGCAGGGGGAGGGACAGATGCCAGGGTTCAGAAGGGGGATAATGAAGGGACAGACAAAAGGAGGGAAGGGGGTCAGGAGGAGTGTGTGCCAGGAGATGGGGGGTGAAAGGAGGGGTGGTCACGAGAAAGGCAGGGGCTGGGGTAAGTCATGGGGGCAGAGGGGTGTGAGGAGAGTGGAGTCAGGGTGCAGAGGGAGTGAAGGGGGATAGGCATCAGCGGGGAAGGGGCAAGGCGAGGGGTAGATGCTGGGGGGCAGGGTGAGGGAGGGAAGGGGTTGGAACGAGGGGGGAAGGGAATGGGCAGGTGCCAAGGGATTGAGGGGGCTGAGCAGAAGGGCAGACACAGGGAGAGCAGAGGAGGGAAGGGGTGGGAACCAGGGGAAGAGAGGGGTGGAAGGGGCAGGTGGCAGGGGTCATAGAGGATGGAGACAGGGACAGGTACCAGGCTGGGCTCAGGGGGCTGAGAAGGGCGGGAGCCAAGACAGCAGAGGAGGGTGGGGGCATGAAGGGGCAGAGGGGGTGAGGGTAGTGGCAGGCACCGGGGGGGGACGAGGGGTGGGGTAGGGTGAGAGACATGGCAGCAGAGGGTGGAAGGGGAGAGGTTCATGCCAAGAGGTAGCAGGGGGGTGAAATGATGGGTGGGCTCCAGGGTGCAAAGGATGTTTTTGCGAGAGGGGCAGGTGACAGGACAGCAGTGGGAGAAGGGAGGGTGGGTTCCAGGGGGCAGAGATGGGTGGAGGGCAGAGGTACATGCCAGGGAGGCAAAGTGGGGACAGAGGGGTAGGGCCCAGGGGAGCAGAAAAAGGGTGAGAAGAAGGGGAGGGGCAGGACAGAGGCAGGGGTCAATTTGGCACAGGGTTTGAAGGAAGGGTAAGGGAGAGGCAGGTGCTGGGGGATAGAGGGAAGGTGAAGGGGGCAGGCCCCAGGGAATCTCTGTTGCTCTGGGGTCATGTGTGGCTGGTTTGTTGCTAAGAGCAGGTTGGTGCCGTCCCCACACACACTGGTGCAGCTGGGACTCTCCATGCTAGGGCAAGGGCAGGGTGCCCGGGCTCGTTAGAAGGGGGCAGGGTAATGGGAAGATGAGTCTTGAAGGGTGCTGGGGGGAACAGGGGTGATTGCTAATGAGGCTGGGGCAGTGGGGAGGGGAGGGGGCATTTCCCCATTTGCTGCTCCCTCCATCTGGGAGAAGCTGCACTAGGGGCCAGTCCCAGTTCACACCCACACAGCGTGTCTGCACTAGGGGTTTGCACGGGGGCATTGATATGGCTCAGACACTGCGGTGCCAGGGGCCATAACCCCTCCGTTCCCTGGGGTTATGGATCAATAATTACAGGGTCACTGGAGCAGAGGAGTTGGACTCTGGACTCCCAGGTCGGAGCCCGACCACTGGGCTGCAGAGTCATTCTCACTCACACGCTCTGGCCCAGTGCCCATGGCAGTGTTTAGACACAGGGGGACGCCTTTAGCAGGAGAGATTGAGGAAGCCCCACACCAGACACCCGGAGCCCATTCCAATTCCTTCCCCACATCACCTGGGGGATTGAACCTGGGGCTCCCAGCTGAGGACCCAGCCACTGGGCTAAAGGCTAGAAGGGAAGTGGCGGCACCTTTTTCTGGTCATTGAAACTATTCAGCAATTTTGACATGGATTCAGGAATAGTTTCAGTCAACCCAAAATATAATTTTATAGGCAAATAAACAATTTACCCCCGAAGTACACCCAGCTCTACTTCAAAGGTGCCCCAGCAACTTAGGAGCCCAAATCCCAGTGACTTCCAGTGAGTAACTATCAACATCCCCAGAAACGCACAGTTACGGTCAGGCCAGGCTCAGGACATCAGCTATGAAACACTCCAGAGCTGCTGTTAAATTTGCCCTTGGTAGAAAAATTCCCCCTTGGGATCTCATAGCTCTTCTACTGAAGGTGGTGGGAAGAAAGATATGGCCAGTAGTAATTAGTGACACTAACAAGGAGCTAGTCTGAATGAAAGAGACCTTAGAAGAGACTAGCTGCAGATTTATGTGAATTCAGGGGCCACCTTTACCTGGTAGTCATGAACTATTTTTCCAGGTATATAGAAATAGTGTACTTGAAAGACGTAACATACCAGAGTGTTATACAGCAACTGACGTGCACTTTTCGTCATTTCAGGGTTCCAGAAGAACTTGTGACAGAGCATGGACCACAATTCACTGACGTAGAATTTAATTTATCCAAACAAAATATGATTCCTCATATTACTAGAAGACCATATTACTCACAAGCGAACGGAGAGGTGGCTGAGAACTGTACAGACAGCCAAGAATATCCTTCAGCAGGAAGATCCATTCTTTGCTCTACTGAGTTATAGATCGACACCAATAGCAGCGACTGGATATAGTGCAGCACAACTGCTGATGGGAAGACAACTCAGAACTACCCTCCCAACTTTGGAAAAGAATCTATCTCCAAAGTTGCCAGACATGTAGAGAGTAGACAAATCAAACAAAAAGGCAAAAATAGCTTGTGAACGCTTTTACAACAGACATCACTTAGAAAACTACCAGGCCTAGCAACTGGTGACCATGTTTGTGTCCAATTGGATGGAGACAAAGAATGGAATACTCCAGCTGTTGTAAAGAAAAAGAATTCAACACCCAGGTTGTCTGTGATCAAGACCAAGAGAGGAGAGTTCAACAGAAACTGTCAACATCTACAGTATGTTCCTCAGAAACAACAATCAACTGAGCAAATGCTACAGATGGTGGATGCAAAACAAGAAGATGACTCAAGGATTCCAGACCGAACATAGTGCCACAGGACTCTTTGTTGCTTCAGACCGACCATAGTCAGTTGGTGGAACTAATGGACAGACAGATGACCAAGCTGTCACCTGTTCGGGCTGTGTAATTAGAAGACCAGCACCATTCAGAGACACCTAAGAGACTGATCCACACTGAACTTGAAATACAGTATGATAATGAAAATATTATAAATGGTAGTAATGTAGAACTTAAAGGGGTGGGGGTGTAATGGAACACTAAACTGTATTATGCTGTTCAAGCACTAGGTAGCACTGGGTGTAAAATACCATATTTAAGCTGATCTCAGCCATACTTGGCAGAACATTAAAGGATTTTGTGATGAACACATCTGGTGTGTATCTGGCTGAGACGGAAGCTCTGTAGCCAGTCCATATCTGCTACACGACCATCACACCAATGATGAAAGTCGAGTGCTATTGACTACCTCTGCTATGGCCAAAGAATTGTTCTGAACTATGACATGCTGAAGACTATGGGGGATTTTACCCATAACATGAGCTACATAGAAAGTTGGGGAATCAAACTCCTGGACTCTTCATACTTCAGTGATGAGAATAAAATTATGGCCAGTGGCCTTGCAGATTTCCTTGTGACAGCAGGGCAGGAATTACCCCCCACCTCACCCCGGCTGCAGAACAGAACCAAGTGTCAGCCATGGTCAAGCCTACCTTTGAATACAGGTTGGCTCTCGGGGGGGGGGGGAAGGAAATGTGTCAAGAGGGCTGGCCCTTTTAGGGGAGTCAGGGACCAGACTACCTGTGACAGACTCCGATAACGGAGAATGAGATAACCCAGACCAACCTGGAAGTAATTAAATCCCTAGGTGGCTAGTTGGCAGTGAAACAGCTAATAAGGGGTGCTCCTAGAGCAGTGGTCCCCAAACATTTGGGGGGCATGGCAGAGCCTGGACCAGCCCCCATTTGTGGCAGAAAGGGAACGCCACCCAGCTCCACTCCGGCCCCACCCTAAGCCCCAGCTGCATCTCCAGGCCCGGCCTCAGCCATCGACTCCCAGCCCCGCTCCAGGCTGCGACCCCAGCTTCAGCTCCAGCCCCAGCCCCAACCCTGGTTCCGCCCCCAGCTGAAGCCCCCAGCTGCCGGCCCCAACTGTGGGTCCACTCCCTGCCATGGCCCCGGCTCCTGGCCTCAATTGCAGCCCCGTTCCTCGTCCTTCTCCCAACCGCAACTCCTATCCCCAGGGGCTGGTGATCCCCTAGAACGAGGCACTGAGGTGACTGGCTCAGGATCCTGAAAGGCTCAGGGGCCAGGGGTGTGGAATGGCCCAGAGCTCAGCAGGAACAGACTGAGCTGGGCTGGGAGCAGTGAACGGGGAGGGGAGCAGGGATGTGCTGACTACTCCAGCCAGTCACAGAGAGGAAGCTGCTTCCCCCACAGCCTGGGGTTCCTGCTCCCCTGAGATCCTGGCCCTGCAGCGGCACCGACTGCGCAGCCTCCATTGGCTGGGACAGATACACCCAGCTTGGCCCCTTCGACTGCCCCCTGCTGGGGGTGGGTGGAAAGAGAGGAGCGGCAGGGGTAGGATGAAAGGGCCAGTTCAACAATCACAGACCGAGCTCACTGAACCTTCCCAGTCCTCCTCTCCTCTGCCTTAGTTTCTTCTCTGTCCCTCCTCACTGTCAGGTTTCTGCCTTTCCCCCCGGTCTCCACTCTGGGGTTGTGCGGAGGGGATTGGATGGGGACAGGGTCACACTCTTGTGAGTGAGTCTCACTCACTGAGCAGCAAACCACAGACCCAACCTCACACTGGGCTGTGCTCAGAGCAGACAAGGGGCCCGTAGGATTCAGCTTGTTACCCAGCAACACATGGCCCAGGTCAGACCACAGCAGCCAGACCGGCCCCTCCTCCAGCTCAGAAAGCTCGGCCAGCCTTGGCTAATGGGGGCTGGGGCAGTGCTGAGCGGTGGCCACACAACGCAGCCCTCACATGTCCCAGGAGAGAGGCACAGACACGTCCCCCGTTACCAGTCTGTGCAGTACCCAGTGCGATGGGCCCAGTCCAGGCCTCACAGCACCTGGCTCAGGGACACCCATTAACTCAGCCATGGAGGGGTCAGGATGTCAGAGTGATGGGGCCTGGTCAGACACCTGGGCAAGTACCAGCAGGTGGGTGTGAGTTGCAGGCAAATTCCCCAGCACATCAGCCTCCAGCTATCACACAGCTCCAAGCCTGTCAGCTGGGTACATGCGTGTCCTGGGGTCCCAGGCTCTGTCCAGATCCCCAGGCACAATACAGCTGAATGTCCCAGTAGACTCCACTCACCTCTGAATCTCTGCAGCGCTTCCCTCAGGTCAAGGGAAATTTTATACACGTTCTTCAGGTCAGTAGAAACAGCTTCTGAGTCCTGGAGTTTCACATTCTCACTCCTATGAAGAAAACGTCCCATCATCACTCAGCTGCTCTGTACACACATCATCCCAGAACCACCACCACGAATATAAGAGCAATGAACACAGGAAACACACCTGCTCAATGTGCTTTTCACATCCTGAAAGAAAAAAGAAAATCAATGATCCGTATTAACACAATGCGCATAAAACTGAGGGAGTCTCACTCTGGGCATCAAACTTTCATCTAGAAAATAGATCAACCGAACAGGGGCTGCTAACCGGGAGTTTCGCAAGGGAGTTCTCCAGGTGAAGGAGGAGCAAATACAGGACCCTTGGAGTGGGCCTTGAGTGAGCCTGACTTATAAAAAGGCAGTCAGCAGTGAAACAGCTGAGCGGCGAACAGCGGAGGCTAGCAGAGGGAGTTTGCCTGGGAGTTCGCGGAGAGACCACTGAGGCTTACATCTCGCGGGCTTCTGTGAGTTGCTGCAACAGCTGAGGAAGCTCTTAGAAGGAAGGTGATATGGGAGGTGAGCGTTCAGTTGTTGTAACCTGCACAGTTTGTGCCATGTTTGTTTTTCTTCCACAGGACAGAAGCGACTTTGTCTGTACAAAGTGCAAGCTGGTCTCCATATTGGAAGAGAAGGTTCGAGGTCTGGAGAAACAAGTATCGACCCTGCGTTGCATACGAGAAAATGAAGATTTCCTGGACAGACGTCAGGATATGCTTCTACAGGCACAACGTTCTGAAGAATTGGAGCAGGTTGCACAGAGGGGACTGAGGGACGGTGAAGAAAATTGGCAGCATGTGACCTCCAGAAGAAGGAAGAGGAGCGTCCATGTACCAGCAATGGAGATACAGGTGAGCAACCGTTTTCATGTTCTCTCCACAGGTACTAACGCAGAGAGTGGAATAGATGATACATCTGAGGGAAGGGAGCAGAAGGAGACTCCACCGATTGGAAGGCATGAGATGCACTGTCCTAGGGATGGGGGTTCCACGACCACCACTCCCAAGAGAAGGAGGAGGGTGGTGCTGGTCAGGGACTCCCTCCTCAGCGGGACTGAGTAATCTATCTGCCGCCCCAATCGAGAAAACCGAGAGGTCTGCTGCTTGCCAGGAGCTAGGATTCACGATGTGACGGAAAGACTGCCGAGACTCATCAAGCCCTCGGATCGCTACCCCTTCCTGATTCTCCACGTGGGCACCAATGATACTGCCAAGAATGACCTTGAGCGGATCACTGCAGACTACGTGGCTCTGGGAAGAAGGATAAAGGAGTTTGAAGCGCAAGTGGTGTTCTCGTCCATCCTCCCTGTGCAGGGAAAAGGCCTGGGTAGAGACCGTCGAATTGTGCAAGTCAACGAATGGCTACGCAGGTGGTGTCGGAGAGAAGGCTTTGGATTCTTAGACCATGGGATGGTGTTCCAAGAAGGAGGAGTGCTAGGCAGAGACGGGCTCCACCTAACGAAGAGAGGGAAGAACATCTTTGCAAGCAGGCTGGCTAACCTAGTGAGGAGGGCTTTAAACTAGGTTCACCAGGGGAAGGAGACCAAAGCCCTGACGTAAGTGGGGAAATGGGATACCGGGACGAAGCACGAGCAGGAGAGGAGGACTCTTGTCTCAGACTGAGAAAGCGGGACAATCAGCGAGTTATCTTAAGTGCCTATACACAAATGCAAGAAGCCTGGAAAACAAGCAGGGAGAACTGGAAGTCCTGGCACAGTCAAGGAACTATGATGTCATTGGAATAACAGAGACTTGGTGGGATAACTCACATGACTGGAGTACTGTCATGGATGGATATAAACTGTTCAGGAAGGACAGTACAGGGCAGAAAAGGTCGGGGAGTTGCATTGTATGTAAGAGAGGAGTATGACTGCTCAGAGCTCCGGTATGAAACTGCAGAAAAACCTGAGAGTCTCTGGATTAAGTTTAGAAGTGTGAGCAACAAGGGTGATGTGGTGGTGGGAGTCTGCTATAGACCACCAGACCAGGGGGATGAGGTGGACAAGGCTTTCTTCCGGCAACTAACAGAAGTTACTAGATCGCAGGCCCTGGTTCTCATGGGAGACTTTAATCACCCTGATATCTGCTGGGAGAGCAACACAGCGGTGCACAGACAATCCAGGAAGTTTTTGGAAAGTGTAGGGGACAATTTCCTGCTGCAAGTGCTGGAGGAACTAACTAGGGGCAGAGCTCTTCTAGACCTGCTGCTCACAAACTGGGAAGAATTAGTAGGGGAAGCAAAAGTGGATGGGAACCTGGGAGGCAGTGACCATGAGATAGTCGAGTTCAGGATCCTGACACAAGGAAGAAAGGAAAGCAGCAGAATACGGACCCTGGACTTCAGAAAAATAGACTTTGACTCCCTCAGGGAACTGATGGGCAGGATCCCCTGGGAGAATAACATGAGGGGGAAAGGAGTCCAGGAGAGCTGGCTGTATTTTAAAGAATCCTTATTGAGGTTGCAGGAAAAAAACATCCCAATGTGTAGAAAGAACAGTAAATATGGCAGGTGACCAGCTTGGCTAAACAGTGAAATCCTTCCTGATCTTAAACGCAAAGAAGAAGCTTACAAGAAGTGGCAGATTGGACAAATGACCAGGGTGGAGTATAAAACTATTGCTCAGGCATGCAGGAATGAAATCAGGAAGGCCAAATCACACTTGGAGTTGCAGCTAGCAAGAGATGTTAAGAGTAACAAGAAGGGTTTCTCCAGGTATATTAGCAACAAGAAGAAAGTCAAGGAAAGTGTGGGCCCATTACTGAATGAGGGAGGCAACCTAGTGACCGAGGATGTGGAAAAAGCTAATGTACGCAATGATTTTTTTGCCTCTGTCTTCATGAACAAGGTCAGCTCCCAGACTGCTGCACTGGGCAGCACAGTATGGGGAGAAGGTGACCAGCCCTCTGTGGAGAAAGAAGTGGTTCGGGACTATTTAGAAAAACTGTACGAGCACAAGTCCATGGGGCCGGATGCGCTGCATCCGAGGGTGCTAAAGGAGTTGGCGGATGTGATTGCAGAGCCATTGGCCATTATCTTTGAAAACTCATGGCGATCGGGGGAGGTCCCGGATGACTGGAAAAAAGCTAATGTAGTGCCCATCTTTAAAAAAGGGAAGGAGGAGGATCCGGGGAACTACAGGCCAGTCAGCCTCACCTCAGTCCCTGGAAAAATCATGGAGCAGGTCCTCAAGGAATCAATTCTGAAGCACTTAGAGGAGAGGAAAGTGATCAGGAACAGTCAGCATGGATTCACCAAGGGCAAGTCATGCCTGACTAACCTAATTGCCTTCTATGATGAGATAACTGGCTCTGTGGATGAGGGGAAAGCAGTGGATGTCTTATTCCTTGACTTTAGCAAAGCTTTTGATACGGTCTCCCACAGTATTCTTGCCAGCAAGTTAAAGAAGTATGGGCTGGATGAATGGACTATAAAGTGGATAGAAAGCTGGCTAAGTCGTCGGGCTCAACGGGTAGTGATCAACGGCTCCATGTCTAGTTGGCAGCCGGTTTCAGGCGGAGTGCCCCAAGGGTTGGTCCTGGGGCTGGTTTTGTTCAATATCTTCATTAATGATCTGGAGGATGGCGTGGACTGTACCCTCAGCAAGTTTGCCGATGACACTAAACTGGGAGGAGTGGTAGATACTCTGGAGGGTAGGGATAGGATACAGAGGGACCTAGACAAATTAGAGGATTGGGCCAAAAGAAACCTGATGAGGTTCAACAAGGACAAGTGCAGAGCCCTGCACTTAGGATGGAAGAATCCTATTCACTGTTACAGACTAGGGACCGAGTGGCTAGGCAGCAGTTCTGCAGAAAAGAACCTAGGGGTTACAGTGGACGAGAAGGTGGATATGAGTCAACAATGTGCCCTTGTTGCCAAGAAGGCTAACGGCATTTTGGGCTGTATAAGTAGGGGCATTGCCTGCAGATCGAGGGACGTGATCATTCCCCTCTATTTGACATTGGTGAGGCCTCACCTGGAGTACTGTGTCCAGTTTTGGGCCCCACACTACAAGAAGGATGTGGAAAAATTGGAAAGAGTCCAGCGGAGGGCAACAAAAATGATTAGGGGGCTGGAGCACATGACTTATGAGGAGAGGCTGAGGGAACTGGGATTGTTTAGTCTGCAGAAGAGAAGAATGAGGGGGGATTTGATAGCTGCTTTCAACTACCTGAAAGGGGGTTCCAAAGAGGACGGATCTAGACTGTTCTCAGTGGTACCAGATGACAGAACAAGGAGTAATGGTCTCAAGTTGCAGTGGGGGAGGTTTAGATTGGATATTAGGAAAAACTTTTTCACTAGGAGGGTGGTGAAGCACTGGAATGGGTTATCTAGGGAGGTGATGGAATCTCCTTCCTTAGAGGTTTTTAAGGTCAGGCTTGACAAAGCCCTGGCTGGGATGATTTAGTTGGGATTAGGTCCTGCTTTGAGCAGGGGGTTGGACTAGATGACCTCCTGAGGTCCCTTCCAACCCTGATATTCTGTGATTCTATGAACCCTCCCAGGCTTCACTGTTTTGTGGTAAAATCTCATACACCGTTTTGCATTAACACTTGTTTCATTTGTGTAGGTGAGACAGGGATTTAGCTAAAGGTTTCTCCCTTCAAGGGACCCAGCCCATCAGTACCTGTGTTTATCGACCATGTTGGGTCCAGTGTTCTGGGGTCAGAGCAGGGACGGGTTTAGCTCAGTATCGTTTTTGTATCATCCATTTAATCTCCCACGGCCTCACTGGGTCTCCAGGAGGAGAATTCCCCTCTAACATGAACTGCGATATTTTGGAACTGATGGAGCCCTTAGCCGATGTTCTGTTTGTCTGTAACCACAGACACATTTACTCTAATTGTTGGGATCCAGACCCAGGGATCTGAGTTATAATTCTGGATGGGGGGAGAATTTTGATGCCGTCTCACCTTTAGCAGCTCGACAACTGGTTGCTGACACTTCTCCTCGATCTCTGTGATCAGCTGATGCAGAGAGGAGCTTTGCTGGGAGAGTTTGGTGACATTTTTCCTTAGTCTCTGCAGAGTCGCCCTCTCCTCCTCCTCCAGGCTCTGCAGAAGCAGCTGCTCCTCCTCTCTCAGCAGTGTGTGCAGTTTGTTAAATTCACCTGCAATCATCTCTCTCTTATTCCTCACTTTCCTCTGGAGATAGAAAAATAGGAAAGGCACAGAGAAAACGTGAGCCGGATGTTGAGTTACACAGACTGGGCCTCTGTCCATGAAGCAGGGGATTCATAGATTCTAGGACTGCAAGGGACCTCGAGAGGCCATCGAGTCCAGTCCCCTGCCCGCATGGCAGGACCAAATACTGTCTAGACCATCCCTGATAGACATTTATCTAACCTACTCTTAAATATCTCCAGAGATGGAGATTCCACAACCTCCCTAGGCAATTTATTCCAGTGTTTAACCACCCTGACAGTTAGGAACTTTTTCCTAATGTCCAACCTAGACCTCCCTTGCTGCAGTTTAAGCCCATTGCTTCTTGTTCTATCCTTAGAGGCTAAGGTGAACAAGTTTTCTCCCTCCTCCTTATGACACCCTTTTAGATACCTGAAAACTGCTATCATGTCCCCTCTCAGTCTTCTCTTTTCCAAACTAAACAAACCCAATTCTTTCAGCCTTCCTTCATAGGTCATGTTCTCAAGACCTTTAATCATTCTTGTTGCTCTTCTCTGGACCCTTTCCAATTTCTCCACATCTTTCTTGAAATGCGGTGCACAGAAATGGACACAATACTCCAGCTGAGGCCTAACCAGAGCAGATATTAAAGCAGTATCAGATTTGTAAGGATATTTACTTCTTTGGGAAATGTACCATAAAGGGTTTGTTTCAGTTCATATGACCAGTTCCATAGCGGGGTTGTCTAGGGTGCTTTGTAAAGCTGCAGTATGTGATTGCAGGTGGCATGGGATGGACAGAGTGGAGTGGGGAGAAATCGAGGGAATGGGAGAGATTTAGAGAGGGCTGCACAGGGCGTCCGTGGGGGGATTTGGGTGCCAAGTGCTGGGCCCTCAGAACCCAGGGGGAGCCATCACAGCAGGATGTGGGCGATGCTCCTTCTTTGACAACCTGCTCCCAGGGCTGCCAAGTTCAGGACCTTGGGCTGGTGCTAATAGTCCTTTGGGTGACATCCTGGGGCTCACATGAGTGTTGGGTGCCCAGGGAATTGTCGGAGCTGGATCTGGCCTCACCCAGTCTGGTCAAGTGCCCCATGCCCATGTGCCCAGTGCCCCTGGGATCGCAGCCTTTAGGGAGCCCTCTCGGCTCACAGAGCAGCGGGTTGGCTGATGCCAGCTGTGTCCCCACCTGCTCTCTGAAAGGAGCCGTGGGAACGATGCTGAGCCGGTACTGATCCTGGCTGGGGGAGGGGCTGGCTGTTCTGCACTGGCCTCTTTAGCTCCCCTGCAGCTCAGCTCAGAGGTGCTGGGTGACCCTGGGGTGAGCCTGCCCCCCAGTGTGACTCGGGCCACAGTGATGTTGGGGAAAGTCCCTCTCACTCTCCCTGAAATGCCAACATGGCCAGGGGCTTCAGCAGCTTCCCCAGCCCCTGTCCCCTGCCCCCAGAGCCCTCCCCCCTGAAACACCAGTACGTGAGCCCCAGCCCTTCCCCCCACTAGTCTGTGCCCTGTGCCAACCCCCACCCTTCCCTGTGCAGGGCTTTAACCCGTCTGTCTGTCCGGCTCCCTGTGTGGTGGGGGAGGGGCTGTGCTCAGTGTCTGTGTCTGAAGAGGCAGCTGCTTGAGCATTGTAACTTCCACCTCCTACCTCTGCCCCGAGCCCCCAATGCAGCCTCCAGCACCCCTGGGCCCATCTGCCAATGGGTTTTGGACACTGACCCATCCCCCACCCCACCCCTGGGAGCGCTGCAGCCATGGGGCACTCAGACAATTCGGTTACAGCCCTGACAAGCCCCAGCTCCCTCAGGAGCCCCTGCTAGCACCTGCCCGAGGCTTTGTGCATGTGGCCTGGACCCTGCAAAGGGCCATGGGCCTGCAGCCTCCTTCCCCTCCTGCCCCCTGGGAGCTGTTGAGTTACAGCTAATTCGAGTGGCGCAGCGTTATCGTATCCCTAACATCTCCCCCCGTCAGACATGGACAGCGCATCCTTCATGGGGCCTGTCACCTCCCGGCCCTGCTCCGCCCATGGGGATACCCCCACCTGGCTCAGGCCCATGACAGCCCCTCTCAGTGGGTGACTGGCCGCCCCTGCTGGAACTCGTCTCACAGTCGCTGGGGCTGCAGTTACTCTGCCGAGTGACACTGATCATTGGGCCGTGACCTCTGGTGATGTAGGACGTAACTCGCTCTCACGGGGCAATAATCAATGGTTTCAGAACCACCCCAGTGACTGTCCCAAGGGGCAGCCACCTCCATGGCGCCGGCTGGGCACTTTGCCGGACACATTCAAACCTGGCTGTTAATTGTTATGCACCTAAATCCCTATTGTCTGAGGAACTGAGCACCAACTGCTTCTGGTGCGGGCAGTGGGAGCTGCTGCGGTTCTGTCCTCTGGAAATCAGCCACTTCCGCCGGGCTGTAAATACGGCTTCAGATGCAGAACCAGAGGCCCCAGCTCTGAGCATTTCAGCTCTTGTAAATGGCCATTTTTATCTGAATAGTGGGACACCTACTTCTCCTCTCATCCCTGCTGCTGGTGTCTTCCTCACACACCCCCATGCTCTCGGCAGGAATTTAACTGAAAGAGGCAGGTGAACCAGAACAGATATTTTGTCCCATGGGTTCATCACCTGGCTACAGACAAGCACAGGTAAAGTCACAGTAACAGTAGCAGGTGACTGGGATGAAGTGGCCACGTGATGGCGACAGAGGCTGCGACGTGGCCGAGCGCTGCCTGGCTTTACTCTGACCTGCCCCTGGCTCTGCTCACTCAGGGGGTGTCCACACTGCAATGAAGGTGTGACAGCACCGTGTGTAGACACACCCAGGCTAGCTTTGATCTGGCTAGCTCGGGTACTGGTAGCTATGAAGCCCCAGCAGCATGGACTGTACACGCCCACCCAAACCCCTGGGTGTTACTCAGTGACGAGCCTGGAGCTTGCTGTTGGGGCCATGTAGATGCAGCCTGGGGGCAGATTTTCCACAGAGCTCCACACCTGCAACTGGGTTTGATGTTCAGAAGAGCTCAGCTCCCAGCATGGCCCCAGCCCAGCCAGCTGAGTGAATCTGAACCTCACCCATGGGGGCAAATCCTCTTCCCAGCTCCAGTGTCTGGCCCAGGCACTGGGCAGAGTCACTGCAGGGATTGTGGGTGCAGAGGGAGAAGGAACAATCTGTTTCCTCCAGGCTGCAGAGACACTGCAGAGCTTTGTCATGGAGGCCACTGAAAACCGATGGCTGTAGCAGCCGACACACCCTCCCCATCTGCAGGAGGGAAACAGGACCCATGGAATAGTGAAAACACTGCACCCCATATTGAGAATTTGCCCCTATCAGAGATCTCAGGGGTGGGTCTGCACCACTGTACAAGGGCCAGGAACTGCCCCTCCTCCGCCTACGGGAGCTGCTGTGCTGAGATCCCCACCAGAGACACAGCCTGATGCTGCCAGCACCCTGGATGGCAGGTACCATAGGCCAGGGGAGGCTGAGCCTCCCCAGACAGGCTGCAGCACATCTCCCTTTGGGGCATGCTGCAGATCTGCCGCCTTTGGAGTGCTGCCTGAACTCCCCCTGGAGCCCTCGCTCCCGCTCTTCCCCCGAAGCCCGCAGCACCCGCCGCTTGCTTCCCGTCAGCTGTGGGGGGGTTGCCATTTGCTCCTCTCTCTCCCCCGCCCAGCACTCACCCTTAAGATAGAAGGGGGAGAAAGGAACAAGCGGCAGGCGAGGGGGCTTTGGGGGAGGGGGTGGGGGAGAGGAGCGAGCTGCAACAGTGAGCGGTGTGTGGGGAGCCTCTGGGGAGGGGGCTGAGCGGGAGCGGGGCATGGGGCAGAGCAGGAGTGGAGCGTGGGCAGGGCCTCGGGGAGAAGAGGACAAATGGGGGTGGAGCAGTGGGCAGGGCGATAATCCAGGCGCAGGGGATGATCCAGGTACTCACACCCAGCCTCCCCAAATGCCAGAGGCATGCGCCGCCCATGGCCGGCACCAAGCCTGTGCAATGGAGCAAACAACCAGAGCAGGTTCATAACCTCATCCTGGAGCTTTACGGCCCCGTCATTCCTGGAAACGCTGCAGGGGGAAGGGCTCAGGGAGGAATAAACCCGGACACCCACCTGCCACTCTGTGGTTTTCTTCTCTTCTTTAGACATCAGAGCCAGGGCCTCTTCCAGCTCCTTCCTCAGAGGGCCCAGGGCTCCCTGGAGTTTCACCTGCAGGGGCATCGTGTGTGATAAACAGCCATTAGTCTGCCTGTCCGATGGGTGGACAGTACTGTACATATTGGCATTTCATACACGAGCAGTAAATACCCTGGAAGCGAGCAGCAGACTCAGCTCTGCCGGCCCCAAAGGCCTCATGGGAGCAGAGACGCCAGTCTCAGAGCAGGGGCTCTGCTTCCTGCAGACACTCAGGGCTTCTCAGAGCCTGTGATTTAGCTAAAGCTTCTCATCTCTGAGCACAGGCCAGAGGGGAAATAGCTGGGAAGGTTCTGAACGATCCCTCCTGCCAGTGAGAGTGAAGAGGTTGGGACAGCACCTCGCTGCACTGTGCCCAGACCCAGGCCAGGAACAAGACCCCACTGTGCTCTCGTCTGTCCAGGCTCCCATGTGGCCTCCCTCAGGCAGCAGCTGAGCACCGGAGCCAGCGCAGTCCCATTAACTGTACAGGGTGAAGCTGTGATGTGGCTGGAGGTCAGTGAGAAACAGGGAACACACTCGGTCTGGGGGAATGTGCCACCCATAATTATAACTGCTCCAGAGCTGTAATAACCCAGGGGTCTCTTCCCCTTTGACAGCGTGTGATTCCTTCACCCGGCTCAGCGACATGCTCCTGCCCTGTCAGCCTGGCTCTGTACAACACCCAGGGCAGCCCCCTCAGAGCCCCCACCTGAGCCCCCTCTAGAGATCGCCCCATTTCACTCTTCTCTGAGCCCTCGAGTTCTCTCCTCCCCTCCGCCCAAGGGCCCAGGCTGCTGCAGCTGCTGCTGAGAACTCCTGGGGAGCTGTTCGGTGACACCCCTGCGGTGCTGCTGCAGGGAAGTAGTGAGGGAGGAGCCAGCAGGGGCTAGTGAGAGACAGGAGGCAGAAAAGCAGCCTTTGCATCCAGCAAAACAGCTTCTTAAATGAGCAGGGATCAGATAGGGGCGTGGGGGGGGGGTCAAATGTTGCTGGATTCTTTGAAGCTCCACCCACAAAATAGGCCCCACTCATGTGAGTCACCAAAAGGAGACACCATGATCTGTTCACAGTAGATGGTGCAATGTTCAAAACAGGTTGGAGTTGCTGATTGGCTCCAAGGGCCTCCTGGGGCCAGACTCCCCTCATGTAGCTAGACTGTACCACTGGACTCTGATGGGCTCTCTGGGCCTGGTCATCCTTTACTGGGGAAAAAATAAGAGGTGGCATCTCCCAAACATCACCTGCTTGTGACATTGGAAGGAGGCATCACTGGCAATAAATGGTGCCGAGCTGTAATTCTCCCTCTCCGCTCTCACAGGGGAAGAAAATAATTAACAGTGTTGATATGTAAATGATCAGTTCTCCAGTCTCAAAGTAACACACTCACATAGACTGGCCTGCAGCTCTTGTGATTTAAACCTCACTGATTGTTAACACTGGCCGTGCTGTAAATAGTCCCCTTATTTCAGCAGTAGAAGCTGGGTTTGAAAAGCATTCAGAATCTCAGAGAAAAGTTTCCCACAGCAGATATCTTTTAACACTTGATATTCTGATTCTGTCTCCACACTGCCAGATCATTAATTTTGTTATAGCATCTCCCATACAATGAAGGCTTTACAGAGCTGAATGATGCATCACACCTTTGACAGGCAACATTCAATGAAATCAGCCTGTGATTAAAATCCAAAATTATTACCCATTAAACTTGACAGAAATTCCCTACCTTGTACTCCTGGGCAGCCTCCTTTATGGGAACCACCCTGTGATCTCTGTGATCCCGGGACAGATGGCAAACCACACAGACAGAAGTTTGATCCTCTTCACAGAACAGTTTCAGAGTCTCCTGGTGTTCCCCACACACCCTCTCCTCTCCTGCTCCCTTTGCTGCCTGTAAACTCAGCCGTTTGGCTATTTCCACAACATTTCCCAGCCGCCTGTTCGGCCTGAGGTTTCTCTGTTGCACAGTTTCTCTGCACTGAGGGCAGGAGGCGGGTGTATCAAATCCCTCCCAGCACTGGGCGAGGCAGGCTCGGCAGAAATTGTGCCCACACTCCAGAGTGACAGGTTCTGTGAAATACTCCAGACAGATGGGGCATGTAGCTTCCTCCTGGAGACTTTCCATGGGGTTGTCTGTGGCCATGGCTCCCTGTGGACAGTGTAACAGCGTTAGTTTCACTTTCCTGAGCTCAGAAATATGCCCCGCCTGCAGCAGCAGCAATTGGGTGTTTCCCTTCCTGGAACTGAGTCAGGCTGTTTGCTGAGCTGGAGCCAGATCACCCCTAATGTTCCAGCCCTGGAGGCTTTGGTGAGAAATGTAGCAATAAGACTCTGATCCTGCAATCAGCCCCCTCTGCTGGTGTGGGGGGTCACTGGGGATTCACATGGACATCAGCTTCCCCTTGTCCTGATGAGCTGACAGAACTGCGTGTCTAAGGAGTGATATTTAGGTTTTGCAGAATTCATTTTATTTAACATGTATTTATTTGTAAGAATGTTTATATATTTATCTATTTAAACTTTCAAAGTTTCAGTTTTTATCAATATTATTGTTCACAGTTGTGGGATATTGGGGGGGATCAGACAATATTTTAGTCAGACAATAATTAGTTTATGACAGTAGACACAGAGATTCAAAAAGTTAAAAAGTGTAACTATTTAAACACAAATTGTCATCATCACATGTCGAAATATACTAAGTAAATCTCCTTAAATCAAACTCTAGTAAGTTCTCAAGTAGCATTTTTCTTATTGTGCCTATTTGTAAATTTCAGTTCTTATCAATGGAAATGTTCATCATTTGTGTGTGTACAGTGAAATCAAAATTTACTGACATCTACCGATAAAATCTAATCCTTTCAAGTCTAGGGATATTAAATTCACAGGCCAAAAATTTGGTGAAGCTGGAATCAATGTTTCAAAGGCCTGATTCTGACACACGCTAAGGCAGCTCTGCCTCAGTGTAAAGGAGACGCAGTGTCAAAA